CTTTGCGAGCGACGTTGCGAACCCATACTGATGAGGCCGGGCGATGAGGAGTCGTAATCGCGCGAGCTCGTGCTCATGCGCTTCACGTCGTGACGCTGGAGAGTCGACGGCGGAGTGCTGGTCATTTCTGAGTCCGGGGACAGTAGTCGCTTGGTGTCGGCGTCCAGATCACCGAGGAGTGACGACAGCATGTCCGTGTCTCCTCCGCTACCACCACCGCCACTCAACGTACTGCTCAGCGGTCGCATGGAGGACCGCGCCGATGATGCTATCGTCGATGAGTCGTCGCCCTGGGCCGTCGCCGTGGCAGCAGGTCCAGACGTGGACGACGTGCTGCTCCGCCGGTGCACCTGCACGAAGCGCTCGCGCGCCTCCTCGCGCTCGGCGCGCGTGTAGCTCTTGCGCGTGGCGTCGTTGCGCGTCGGTCGTACGGCGCCCTCGTCGGTCGGTGGCTCGGCGACGGCCGCGGTGATGCTGCTGCGACTGTTTGTGCTGCGCTGGGATGCTTGTCGAGCGACGACATCGTTCGACGAGGTCATTGCAGGAGCCGGAGCTCGATCGCGGATGATCAGCGGTGACACGGACGGCGAGGGCACGTGGACATCCGCGCTGGCCGTTTCGCTGACCTTGGACGACATGCTCATGCTGCGCCCAGACTTGCGATCCCAGTCCAGCGAGTCCATGCTGTCGGCCGAACGCAGAGAGCCCTGCGACTGACGCAAGTCCGTCTCGTGCAGTGGACGACTGCCGCCTTCGCGCTTGCTGGCCACATATCGCTTCTTCTTCACCACGGTCGTCTTACGAATGGACGAGTCCTTGCTCTCATCCACGATCTTGACCGCGGTGTTTGTGTTTGGCGGACTCGCTGGTACCTCCGGTGGATGTTGTGGCGATCTAGTTGTGGATTTGAACCGAGAGTATTTCGAAGTGCCTGTCTTGTCGTCCGGCACGGATGTTTTCGAACTCAGGTCGACCGCCTTCGGCTCACCCTGCTCAAGATTGTGACTCGTTGCCGGCGCAGAACTCAGTGGAACTGCCGGCGGCTCCTCGGAGGGGAGTTTCGGCACCGTGACGGGCGAGTTACCGAACAGACTGCCGTTGTTCTTGCGTCGCGTGGCTAGGAGTGACGCGCTGATCGCCTGCTTTGTGCCAGTCGACGGTGACCGTTTAGCCCCAAACAGGCTAGTCTTAGGGGAGAGTTTCCCCACGATCGATGGCTCTGGGGTGGTGACCACCGCTGGACTCTCGTCATTTTTCGACGCCGTGGGAACATCGGTAACGGCGGACGAAGGCAACGGGGGCGGGGATTCGTCGGGAATCTTTGACGGCGACAGTGGAGCGGGTGGCAGCATTTTCGGGACGTTTGTCATCGGGCTGCCGTCAGCCACGGGGGTACTGGGCTCGCTGTTGGGTACGGGCGGTGGTGCTTCGGCCGGGATCGGCGGCGGACTGCCAGAAATGGACGGCGGCTGGTCGCCATCTTCATCGTCATCGCGGTCAATCTCGTCCATCAACGCCGACACGCTGAGATCACTGATTCGCGAAATAGACGATAGCGGACTGACCACGCCCAGGCTTCCCGTGGAAATGTGGCTGTCGCGCTTGCTCTTCCCGTCCGTCGGTGACAAGTTGCTGTCACGTTTGTTCTTCGCGTCGGCAATACGCTGTCTGCGTTCGCCGAGAGTGAGCGGCTTCCTCGGCGAGTCGTCTAACGGAGGCGGCTTCTCAACGTTGATCACTTTGGTCTGCCGGCCAGCTCCGCCAGACGACCATGCGCTGGTTGACCGACCACCTCCGCTGCCGTCCAGCGAAGCCGACGCGATGGCCGAGAGCCCGCTGTCCTTGAGCTGTGTTTGCGAGCCCGAGAGCGGTGTCTTGCGCAGCGGCCTGGGCTGCAGAGTGTCCAACATGGACGGTGTCGTGTTCACCGCTGCCTTGGGACTCCGCGTGACCGTCGTGCCACGGGCGAGATTTATCAATGCCGACGACTTGGTCGTGGCGACTATACTCGGCGAAATTGATCGCGCTGGGTTCGCCTCGGTCTTGGATTCCGCCCCGCTGTCGTTGTCGAGAAGCTCGGTGCTTGGCGAGCGGGAGAGACGGCCGCGGATACGCTGCCTGGCGTCCTCCAGAGCTCCTGCGCCACTGCCCGCACGCGGTCGTGCCTCGTCCAGCAGTCGGCCCGCGCTGCCCGGCCGCTCCTTTCGCGGCACCGCCGTCGACGCTTGTGCTGCTGCCGCAGCATCGGGACTGTCCATAACGGTGGTGGTTGGCAGCAACGCTGCTGCCTTCTCGCCACTTTCCGCATCCTCCGATGGCCTACGCTTCATCTGGCTGGCGCGCCGTGCGGCACGAAGTCGTGCGGTGGCCGTTAGCGGGCCCGCGGCACCATGCACGCTACCTGCCCGCTGTCGGGTAATGCTGTCGCGTACGCTCGTCAGAGATGTGTTGTACGACGCCGCAGCCGCCATATCATCCTCAGCGGCCGCTGGCGATTTACCTCCCGTCGCGTCCGCCGCCTTGGTCGGCGATCTGTCCCGCTTCTCCGGTGTCGGGTCACTCGGAGGGCGGATGATAGACCGGCGGTTTGTGCCCGCCTGCATGCGACTGGACCGTGCCAGGCTGGGAGATGTGGATAGGGTGGATGTGGGCTTTCGCAACAGAAGTGGTGAAGTGCTGGGTGATGGCGGCTGTATTTTGTCCGCTTCTGCCGAGAGGTCAGGTACGGTCAGCTTCCGAAGCGGACCTATTTTCGAGCCAGTAGTAGTACCACCAGCAGCAGTAGCAGCACTACCGCTTGCTGTGTTGCCAGCAGCTTTTCCACCGTCGCACGACAAACTCTCCTGCGTGGGACTTCGCACTATCAAAGACACCCGTCTACTGCTGTCCGCAGTGCTAGTACTAGTGGTGCTACTAACCCTGCTGAGACCAGTCGTCGTCGGCGCATTCCTGGTCGAGGTGGCTCGAGCCTTCGAGCGATACTTGTCGGCGGCGCTGCCAGTCGAACCACCACTGCTCGACGACGGTGACTTCAGTGAAAACTGCCCGCCCGCGCCGAGCCTGCTGCTGAGGCCGCTGGGAGTAGGAGCGGAGGAGCTAGGTGGCGCAGAGCCGGGTACTGGCGGAGGGGGTTCATCAGGAAGATCCGGTGGCAGAGAGTCGGGTAGGCTCGGGCCCTTTTCCATCTCCGCCGCTAGGGGAAACTTCGAAAATGTCCTTTCATTCGAGCACCGCCGGGTATCGGTGCAACGTTGACGCCCAGTGGATCACATCTCGACCTCCATTGTGAGAAGGGCTAACGTAACAGCTTCGGGGTGTCCTCAACGGCACTGCTAGCATACAAGGACGTTGGAACGGGAATGTCCGACCGATGAATCGGAGCGCCCTTCCCGCTCAGGATCAAACACTTCAAGGAAAGAAGATTGAACATTTGAAGACTCGGACTCGGAGTGGAGATCGGTCGTCGCCCAAATCAAACCTCTAAACCCCAGGCCGAGGTGTTGACTGCTGCCGTGCTGGTGTCGTGTCGGTAAACCGTGGCGTAAGCATGCTGTGTGGATCATGACTGTGGAGTGTGGCGTCAGGATAATGTCATTTTTTACATGCATAGCATGGATGTACAGTCAGTATGAGGAACTACATTGTACATGTATACAGGACAACGCCGAAATGTGCAGGATTTTTGAAATCATTCTGCGGTCGGGTATACATGGTATATGTGCAGCTAGCTAGCTCATGACCCCACCAAGTCAAGGCAAACCCGCGGGCCCGACTGCTTGTATAAGTAGGTCTACATCACTCATCAGTACACGACATGACTGCACTGGTAGAGGTAGAAAACGTCATGCACACACCGACATGATACTCTGCATGCAGGCTACAGCCTACAAACAGTAGACCACTACAGACGAGTAGTACGAGAAAAATAATTGCTCCCCTCCATAATAATACGCACCCGTAGGTCAACAACGGACTAAACACACTGCTTGGAACAGGGCTTAGAGCTTGGAGATAGAACCAAAGACTAAGGCCAAGGCAAATCCACGCCTCAGAAAGGACTCACAAACCTGAAAAAGCCACTATCAGATCATACACCCGGCACTGAGCTTGTGCGAGGTCATGACCCAGCCAGGAGTAGGAGGATTGATCGCTATCAATGATCACCCTGATCCCTATACAGATAACAGCCAAGATCACCATGATTACGGAGACCCTGGTGACACTGACAGCTGCTGGCAGCGGGTGCACTCACAGACTGTCCAACCGTCCTGCTTTGACTTGAACGGGACAGTCCTGCTTTGGACCAAAACATTCGTACACATTTTACATGGGACACGATTGCCTTCATACACTGTGGGTGTCCTGCTTTGGAATGGTGACAAAGGCTGGGCACTGCCGCAGACTGCACTCCTTCTCTGCCATGCCATTGCCATTGGCAAGGTGACTTACGGCAAACCTCACAAGCTATGGATCGTGCTACAGCCCTTGTAATTTGTTAATAGTCTCACAGTTTCTCCCGCACACTCGCTGATGTTAACCCTTCCTTTCTTTTCATTTTGCTGACTCGTACAGCTCTATCTTTTGTTTTTGGTGCGTGTTTTTGGCCGTGATGCCGAGACCTCAGGTCGGCAGAGCCATCAATGCCCCACCATCACTGCTGCGTCTCGGTGCAGCCCCTGCTCAATAGTTGTCACGTTCGTCCTAGTCTCAGTATCATTGTCTTTCTTTATTATTTTCGAGCTGGGAGTGTGAACATAGTAAAAAAAAAAAAAAAAAAAAAAAAAAAAAAAAAAACAGGTCTACCCTTGTGCTAGTAGTAGACATCGGTTTCAAGACAACCTCATGCAATAGTGGACCACGATCAAAATTAGCAGCAACTGCTGCTGTTAGTTGTACAGTCATGTACATGTGTCACGCATCTGCAGTGCCGGGGTCTGACAAACGGAGTCGGATTTTCACTATTACCGGTACATGTACCTCGCTTCCGCTTCCTTGGCAGTACCAGGGAGTCGTAAAATACCGGTATTTTACGACTCCCTGGCAGTACTGGTACTGGTACTGTGGTACTCGTAGTCCAGGGAAAACCCCAAAGCAGCAACAGGCCATACGGTAGTCAACTTGTTTTATTCAATCAAAGCCCCACATTTAAGTGAATAATAGCAAGAAGGTACAAGAGAGGAGCTAGAGTCGTAGTAGAGAGAAAAAGGGAAAACAAGGAGGCGTCCAGGTAGAAAAGGAAACGTCACTTGAAAGATTAGAACATTGAAAGGATCAGTCACGCAATACGGTTAATTCCCATCGTCGATCGGATAATTATTCATCCCTACGCAAGAAGTAGGTCGTTATTATTAACAAGGAAAAAAAATATTTGACCAAGCATGCCTGCAAACGACACAGAACACACTATTGTTGATGCAGCCAGCCTACAAGTCATGCAAGCGGCATTACGGTGGGATTACCATAAGTCCTTTCGAACTCTTGAAGCCAGGGAGCACTACAAGTAATTATCACTCCCTTAGTATTGACTCACATAGATTTTTGCCATGCCTAAGCAGTCAAATATTCCTGCATACTAGTATTTGACTCCTTAGGTTGTTGTTGTTGCTGTTGCTGTTGCTGTTGCTGTTATTATTATTAAATTTTTGATAGGGCAATCCCCACAGGCCTAAGGCCTTTTGACAGGGTACCCTAAAAAATGAAGAACAGAATTACGGAAGGTATGCAAGGAAGAACTTGAGCGGACCTCCACTGGGAGGGCATTCCAGCGGTCAGAGCCAAGGAAAGTGACAGAAAATAAACCATAGCGACGTTTGGCTGTCGGAAGAGCAAGGGAAGAGGACACTTGAGAGCGGGTGCGAGAACTAGTGCAGGTAGAATTAGAGCGGAGACAGAAACAGTTAGCAACAAAGACACTAGCCAGATCATGAAGCGCACGGTACGTTAGAACGTACAGCTTGAATTGGTACCTGACAGACAAGGGAATGATATGGTAGCGGGCAAGAACAAGGGAGACATCAGATAGGCGGGGCATGCAAAATACAATACGCAGCGCTCTATTACTAAGTCGGACAACACGGTCATGGAGGGAGGCAGAAAGGCAGTGAGCAAAGGAATTAGACCCATACTCAAGTATGGACTGAATGGAACAGATGTAGAAAGCCCTCTTAGCATCGATCGTTAAATGGTCTCGGACCTTTCTAAACATTCCTAACTTACAGCCTATTTTACGTTCTAATTGTGCAATGTGAACTCCAAAGGAGAGATGTTCGTCAAGAACTATACCGAGGTATTTCACGTGTGCACTAGGGGTGATGGTGACATCTTCAATCTGAACGTTGACATCGGGGTCAAGAGGTTTCGACTTTGGCCTGAACACAACAAGCTGGGTTTTCGAGGAGTTCAACATAAGACCTCTCGTTGCCAAGAATTCCTTTACTTTGATGATGTCCTCTGTGAGGTCTTTGCATAAGTTCTGGACATTCTTCCCCGCCCTGTATAAAGACACATCATCTGCGTATTGACGGGCTTTGCAGTGTTTGGGCACAGCGGGGAGTTTCCTCACGGACAAGTTAAATAGAAACGGCCCTAAAACAGAGCCTTGTGGAACGCCTCTGTTGCTTGTGTATGGTTGCCCTTGTTGAGTCTTAGTGACCACGCACTGTTGTCTGTTTGTAAGGTAGCTGTGAAACCATTGCAGAGCGACTCCGCCAATACCAATCTCAAGTAGTTCTTGAAGTAACATGTTGTGGTTGACAGTGTCAAAGGCCTTTGACATATCAAGGAAGGCAGCCACTACGTAGTCACCCTTGTCCAAGGCAAGCATCCAATCGTTGGTAACACAAATGTTGCGGTTGCGGTTGCTGTTGCTGTTGCTGTTGCTGGTGCAGTTGTTGTTGTTGTTGTTGTTGTTGTTGTTGTTGTTGTTGTTGTTGTTGTTGTTGTTGTTGTTGTTGTTGTTGTTGTTGTTGTTGTTGTTGTTGTTGTTGTTTCAAATCTTTATTCTCACGATAGCCAGTGGCCAATAAGAGATAATCGTGTAAGAAAGGAGAAAGAGTGAGCACAAATTGGGTGGGCAGGGCCTAGGGGTTAATGACTACTTAAGTTAAGTGTACGGGCAGGGGTGGTCGCTACACGAGCATACAGAGCTGTGCAACAGCAGGGATATCTGGGATTTGAAGGGAGTAGATCTACGAGAAGGGATTTCGCGAAGCTGGGTGGGCAAGCAATTAAAGTAGTGAAGGGCCTTGTACAGGGGAGAATGGAGACAGCGGTCAGTCCGCGGAGTTGGCAAGTGCCAAGTACGAGAGCGACGTAAATTATACGAAGGTTGCACGTTGCTAGCAGTATGCAGCGAGAGTTGATGTCCTTTCAAAATCTTGAAGGACGCTTCACGCAGCTTCATTGTCCTTTATGAAGGCTACCCGAGCACATTGACTCAAATTCTCACACCGAGTAGTTAGCATGCTCTTGGCTATTACTTAGTATTATGGCTTTTTATGGAATCTTGACCAGGCATACTGTAGAAACATGGGAGAAGTTCGCCCGCGATCCAGGATTGCTTGCGAGGCTGAGAAAGAACGTCGTTTTTTACCTCTGGCCCGGGTGGGTCTGTACTGAGTCGGGGAGGCTCTTTGGGCTGAGCTTCGGTACTGTTGTGACTCCTGGAATACCGGTGCGACTCCCTCTGCCCTGCTCCTGGGTCTGAATTATCTTCTGTATTGGTACGATGCAATTGTTGCCCATCGCATACAGACTCAGTACCGTTGGCGTTGCACCATGAAGACTTAAATGTTCCTTTTGCCTTTTTTTAGTGCCCAGGAAAGCCTTCAAAGGCACCATGATTTCACAAGGCAGGGGGTCATATACGACGCCCTGCCATAAAGTTATCACAAAAGTGTAAAAGTAACTGCGTGTGCCCTGCCTGAGCCATGGGGCCAGCTCCGTTCTCTGCACGCTGAATGACCTTTGACCTTTGGCAGGACGCATTCGGCTTTGATCTGGCCACGGACACGAGAACGGCCCCGCCATTTTGAGACTGCTACCTATCGCCTGCGCTTGTCAACGGCAGGTATGGAAAGGCGCAGGAGAAATAGCAGGGCATCCACTGCTCTTCGCCCAGAATTCAGAACTGACTGGTGCTTTCGGATCAGGATCGTCTCGTCTGTTCCCGAGCAGCTCCACTGCGTAATACGATTGGCCACCTGCACCCAAAATTCTCTCAGCAAGCAGCAACCACAGCAGTTCCAAGATTGACTTGGTTTGTTCTTACAGCCAGCGAGCCAGCAAGTTCTTGAAAGAGTAGACGCGAAGTGCAAGATTAGTGTAGATAGATAGAAGACCGGACTATACCGTCACTTTGGCTGTTGTCTCCTATAAACGTCAGAGTGACCGGTTACTACTTGGCGACTGACCGAATTGGGAGGAAGCCAGGCGTTCGACTGTTCCAGGTCCGAGCGGTTTGCTGATAAGTGCGGTAGGGTGTTGAAGCACTTCAAACCACCGGCGACTCCCCTCTCTTTCAGGTAAGATCTGGATGTTGCGAAGTGTTAGGAAGAAAATTGTATGAAAATGACTGGTCAAGGTCGTAGATCTACGGCGCGATCGTCAAGCATGCTAAAGCTTGGATCACATTCGACGGGATACGACGGAAGGATCAGGAACGGGAACTGACGGGCTGCACATCAGGAACGGGAACGCAACCAGTACCATGCCACCGCACAAATTGGGAAGCTATGCAAGAGTTGTGTTGCTGTTCAACTGTTTTCAATTTGATAATGTATGCTGGAACGCAAGCAAGCCTCACGGCGGTTGATCTCGAGTGTGCACAGGCGACCACAGATTTTTCGACTGTTTTATCTGAGAGTTCATCCCACCTGGGGTCGTCATACCTACATGTATTCCAATGTGTATGTTCGTTAATAATAATCTTATTTCAGGATTACCCAAAGGTTAACGCCTATCTGGGGGATCTCCTATTTGTGTAGGCACTGGTAAGACAGTTTTAAAAGGAGAAGAAAGAAAGTGTTACGCTGATTGTCCACTACAGGACCTGGAGAATTGCTCGTCGCGTACAATAATTCGTCTTGGTCTGGGTTCGTCTCCAAACGGCCAGGTTCGTCCAAGCCAAGCTCAACTGCATTCAGATATGTGGCCGAAGCTGTCCCCTAATCGGCGCACTAACTGCCAACCTGCTTAGCCCAGTCAGTGGAGCATTCATCGTTTCGCCATTCCCTTCCATGGCACTGGCAAGCCACTAGGTTGGACAGGATATTGATTTCAAAGACTGTCAATATGTGTGTTGCAGTGTGGCGTTGAATTTGAGAGATTCACTCTCCGGTTATCGTAGGTCTCTGTTCTGAGGGATCCCTCGCCCTGCCTAATACTCATACCTTGCCGTTAGCAACTTCAAGCAGGCTCTTTGACATGGTTCACTGCATCGTGTTAAAATGCTACATGCCGGCTTAATTCATACTCTGGTAGCAGGACTCTGGTGTATTTACAATGAAGAAGGCAGTTCTCTCTTCGTCTTTCTCTCCCACTCTCTCTCCCACTCTCTCTCTCCCACTCTCTCTCTCTCTCTCTCTCTCTCTCTATCTCTCTCTCTCTCTCTCTCTCTCTCTCTCTCTCTCTCTCTCTCTCTTTCTCTCTCTCTTTCTCTTTCTCTTTCTCTTTCTCTTTCTCTTTCTCTCTCTCTCTCTCTCTCTCTCTCTCTCTCTCTCTCTCTCTCTCTCTCTCTCTCTCTCTCTCTCTTTCTTTCTCTTTCTTTCTTTTTCTCTCTTTCCTCTCTCTCTCCTCTCCCTCCCTCTCTCTCTCTCTCTCTCTCTCTCTCTCTCTCTCTCTCTCTCTCTCTCTCTCTCTCTCTCTCTCTCTCTCTCTCTCTCTCTCTCTCTCTCTCTCTCTCTCTCTCTCTCTCCCCTCTGCATTCACAGGTGGAGGTACTGTGGACATCTGGAAATAAATAATTGCAAGCATGGAGTTTCATTCAATGTCAGTTGTCCCA